TGAGGCAGGACTTACAAAAGTCACAGATGTTAAGTGAGATAGAATCACCTTTGAAATTGTCACCTAGAACAACATATAAAAGCCGATTAACACCTAAAACAGCCTCACCTCTTGACACATAGGTTTTTAAAATTTCTTTTCCGCCTGAATTAGCCAGTTAATTTTTGACTAAGAATGCAACCAAGAACTGACTTGCAGAAATCCACTGTTCATCAACCATGAACTCAATGGATTTTAAGAACTGATCAGGTCAAAGAACAGCTCTCCTTACACTGAAGTCCTCAGGTGAATAGGAATCAAATTGTGATTTGTTGGGATTTTTTGAGATGAGTTTCACTAAATAGCCCTGGCTGGCTTAGCACTATGTAAGACGAACTGGCCTTAAACTTGCAGCAGTACTCCAGCCTCTGTCTCTGAGAGCTGGGACCTGTTATTCTTAAATATAATCCAACATTATCATTTCAAAGTAGCTAAAAATGATGTTTTTAAATTATAAAATCCTAACCACCAAAATCATTTTGTGTTCAGGAAATAAATTCTTTTCAGGAATCCAAACCCATTTCTTTAGGGTCCTTAATAGAAAAGCCACACAATTAGCCATTTTCCATAGACAGTTATGATATAGCATTTTATAGAGATGTCCAGTGAAGTCTCTGCCTCCTGAATACAGCCGTGACTACACTGTAAGCACTAGATACAGAAGTGCTTGTTATTACTAGTTAACAGGACATGATAACTATTGTTAATAATAACATCTAATCTAAGGAACACATTTTTAAAATAGGAAGCCACATGCTGGACATGGTGGCACCAAGCCTTTAATCCCAGCACTCAGACTGCAGAAGCTGGTGGATCTCTGTGATTGAGGCCAGCCTGGTACATAGTGAGGTCCAGGCCAGCTGGGGCTACAGGGAGACCCTATACCAAGATAAAATTGCAAGTCATTTCAGTCCTTTGATGGCAACTTCCTTCCATCGCTCTAGTCATCCTTTCAAAGTCTACTGGCAGATTCTTTTGGCTCCTATTTCAAGCTATATCTTTGTAAGGTAATAATGCATATATACATATCTATTCATAATCCAACCATTCCTCACCACTTCTATTGCTTCTCTTGTCCAAACGACCATCTTTCCATCCTAGGCTATGATAAAACTGGAAACACCATTATCTAACATGAAATGCCTTCAAAGTTCTAAATGAGTTCTAACTTGAGGCTATAGGCCCAATCAAAACAAAGAATAAAGGAATAAAAGCTTGGTGAGACCTGAAGGGAATCCAAGTTTATCTCTAATGTACCCGGCTCATCCTGGGGCAGATGCAGAAGGACCCCCCCAGGCTCTCGGGGAGCACCTAAAGAATTCCATAATAGCACAGGAGATCCAGAAGCTGATGAAAATGAGTTCAAACGCACTTTATGGTGGTTCCCTTTGCCCACATGCAAATGTGAGCTGGGACTGCAGCAAGCAGCAGGGGGCAAAGGAAGGGAGAATGGCTTATCTTTATACCTGCCTGCATGGAAGACACCCAGCACCACTTGGGCCCTCACAGCACACATGTGGGCTCTTCATTGCTACCCTTAATCCATGCTCCACCCCTGCCCCATCACTGGCTCAGCTGCTTCCCCATACTTGGTTCTTATTTATTTGGGGCACTGGGTACATACCTGGAGGGGAGGATGTTCTCTCCAACCTGGCTTCAGCTGTCCTCACCTGTTAACTCCACATATCCTTCTCAATAAACAAGCAGTTGAGCATAGTTATAAGATTTTGGGTTGTTTTTTTTGTTTGTTTGTTTTGTCTTTTTGAGACAGGGTCTCCTTGTAGCCCCAGCTGACCTGGAACTAACAATGTAGACCAGGCTGGCCTCGAACTCACAAAGATCCGCCTGCCTCTGCCTCCCAAGTGCTGGGATTAAAGGTGTGCGCCACTATACCCGGCTTTTTTTTTTTTGGGGGGGGGGGGGTCCTTTTGATGATTTTGTTTTTAAAATGTATCTTACAGACTTCAGAAAAGTAAACTTCTCCTCCCCTAAACCCCCCCCCGAAAAAATCAAGAAACAGTGAAATCTAAAAAACATGGAAGCACAAAGAAAATACACCCCAGGATTATTGCTAAAAATCACTAATTCATAAAGTTGATAAAGGAGCATAAAATGACCTCAAAGTTACAATGGAGACACTATTTCTAGAGTGAAAAGCACTTTGACTAAATTTAAATTTGTTCAACAGTATGCTTTTAAAAAGCTAAAGAAAATATCTGTTCTGCAAAAAAATAAAGCAATTACACACTGCAGGAAAAGTAAAAATCTGCAAAAGTCATGGCCCACACATGCCCTGAAGAGGTAAAGCCATGAGAGAAACGAACTTAATCTTTTAAGGCTTGCAACATTCTGCCTACATCCTACATCCACATAAAGATGTAAAACTGGTTATGTAGGGGCTAATGAGTTCATTTACTTGTGAATACTTTTTATTGTCTTCCATAGCTACTAGTTATTGGTTTACAGTTTTTAGAGTCAATACATAAAGAAAAAATAGGTCGTGTAGCTCTCCCAACAGTAAATACTAACGTTGCTTACATAATGTGTAATGTAGGAAGGTACGAGCAGTGGTGGACATAAGATTTGGACATTTCCTGAATGGTAGGGAGTCAGTAGGGACTGTTTAAAACTGTTGATAAAGCCAGGTGTGGTGGTGCACACCTTTAGTCCTATCACTTGGGAGGCAGAGGTAGGTGGATCTCTGCGAGTTCATGGCCAGCCTGGTTTAGATAGTGAGTTCCAGGCCAGCTGGGGCTACAGAGAGACCCCGTCTCAAAAACACTGGTGACCAAGCTGGCTGCAGTGGCACTAGCCTATAATCCTGGGAAGTGGAGGCAGGAAGCATCAGAAGTTCAAGTTCTTACTCAGCTACATAGTGAATTTGAAGTCAACCTGGGCTACATGCATTCAACCATCTCAAAACAAAGTTACAAAAATGAAGCAAACAAAAAAATGATGTATCAAGGAACATTAAAGTTATAGAAGAAACCCAAAGAACAAAAAACAACTAACAAGTATTGAGGAAGAACAGATGTGAAAAACCGGTCATCATAAATGGCAGGTATTGCAGAAAACAAGGAACAGCAGTAACAAACATCCTGTTAGCCCAGAGAAGGGTCACACTTCTGCCTCCAAAGGCTCAGGGATTGTTGTAGAACCGGGGTGGGGAGGATATACAAGAGCTAGAGATGGTCAATGACCACAAGGAAACAGTTTTCCAGACAGCTTGTCAGTTAGTTACTCTTATGATCTCACTGCAATGCTGACAGCATGCATAAGTCCCAAGTAAGCTCAAAGCAGACAAAATTCCAGCATAGACATGAGGAAGTCAGTAAGAAACCCTAACCCAACCCAAGGAAATTCTGACAACCTATGCCTTCTGGGAGGGGGAGAGACAGTCCCTTTCAAGGATAGGACTCTTGGTAGGTTACCAGGCTCCAATGGACAGACCTACAACAAAGGACATTTGGGGACACAAATGAGACTCTATAGGCCTTATTTTATACATACACATAAAATAAGAGCACCTTAAATTGGGCAGGGGCAATAAGAGGAGGTGTGGACAAGGAAGGAGATCTAAATACCATCAAATTATATTGTATGAAAGTCACAAAAATTGAGGCTGGAGATGAAGAGATGGCTCATCAGTTAACAGCACTGCCTGATCCTCCAGAGGACCCAGGTTCAGTTCCCAGCACCCACTTGACAGCTAACAACCATCCGTCCATCTGTAACTCCAGTTCCAGGGGATCCAACACCCTCTTCTGACCTCTGCTGGCACTACATAACATGGGTGCACTTACATGCATGCAAGCAATACACTCATACACATAAAATAATTTTTTTAAAAAAGAAAATCACAAAAATTCAATTAAATATTAAAATTGTACTCACATACATGCACTAACGATGGACTATTTTTTCAGTCTTCAAAATCTTCAGTGCTGGCAGGCTCAGAAAGGAATGATTGGCTGATAGTCTATGTAAGGAGACTCCAAAAAATTCCCAAAGTCAAGGCTGAAAACTCAAAAAAGATTTGAAATAAAAGGTCACTTAAAAGTAAAGGAATCAGCTGGGTAAGGTGGCACATGCCTTTGATCCCAGCATTCAGAAAGCAGAGGCTTTCATCTCTGAGCTCAAGGTGAGCGTGGTCTATGTAGCAAGTTCCTAGGACAGCTGGGACTACAGAGAGACCCTGTTTCAAAACAAAACAAAACAAAAAACAACAACAAAAAAGTGAAGGAATATGAGCTGCTGAGATGGCTCAGAGGTAAAGGACTTGCTACCAGGACAAATGACCTGAGTTTGATCCCCAGGAGCCACATGATAGAAGGAAAGAACCAACTCTGTAGCATGTCCTCTGACCTATACCTCATACATGCTGTGGCATAAGTAAACTCCCCTACCCAACACAATAAAAATATAATCAAAAAAATTTTTAAGGAAAGCCACCAAAACTTAGCAATTCTGTAAGCAGCGGAGTCAATTTAAAAGGTCTATAATTTTGACAGTGATTTAGACAAGGAAAAATGTTTAGCATACCCAAGGAGGCAGAGACAAACTTGAAACCTATTCTCATAAAATAAAATAACAATTCTTAAAGAATTTCAGACACTAGAAGATTCCATTTTGGACAAATCAATATGATGTGTGTTTATGGATAATATGCTTAAGAATATGAAAGTGTGGGCTGGAGAGATGGCTCAGCGGTTAAGAGCACGGACTATTCTTGCAGAGGACCCAGGTTTGAGTCCTAGCACCCACATGGCAGCTACGAACTGTCCTTAACTCCAGTTCCAGGGGAATCCAAAGCTCTCTTCTGACCTCTGCAGCACTACACAAGGGGGCACTCACATACATGCAGGCAATACACTCACACACATAAAAAATAAAAATAAAATATAAAAAAGAATATGAAAGTAATCTTTAAAATCAATTATGATAATAGCATGACACGATGTTATATTATTTTAATAAAATGTACATTTCTGGAACCACTAGTCCAATTTATACAATATATGTGACATGGTAAACCAAAGGAAGCAAACAAAGATAATCCCCTTACAAAACATTTAAAAACAGTTTTATTCTGCCATTATGGGAAGGAATCTAAATACTATCAAAATATACTATGTGAAACTCACAAAAATTCAATTTAAAAAGGGAAAAAATAATTTGACTTATGACATACACCTGATGCTTAAAATTACACAACATTTTCAAAAAATTATCAAGTTTCATGTAAAAATAGTTATTTCCTCTTTGTACTAGTAGGCTTTCAGATCAAAAAAACTGGGTACTCTGATTACCAATGTATACTACATAGAAATGAGTAAATTAAATACCTTAGTATTTAGAAAAACATTAAGAAACCAGTTTTGAATGGCTGCTACATCCCAAACTTGGTAATTCAAGTTTTATTTGTATTTTTTAAATTATACATTCTGTAAGTATAAAACCTTTTTTGAAAGTAACAATTTTAAAAGCCTTCTAAATTTACATTTTCAAACACTGTTGTGACTGCTAGAATAACTATTCTGTAGATATACTTAGCCAAATAAGTAAATTTTAAAAAACTCATAACATGTAGTATCCTGGCAAGATGATTTCTTTAGAAACAAGTAAGGGCAATTATAAAGTCAACATTTTAGGTGTACTACTAACAAATAAAGCATCACAGAATACAAAAATGCATAGAACAGGTGAAGCTTTTTTGGTTTTTATAAGTCACGAGATAGGTATCTGCTCGTTTGATCCCCTAAGAAGCTAAAGGGCTTCAACCTGAAATATAACTTTTCATGGGGGACTGTCTCTGAAGCAGAGAGGAAGCTACTGCTTCTATCAGATACTTTCAGAGTATTTTCAGTAAAATGGTTTCATGTGACTTCACCTTTATCTTCAATGTTTTCCTGAAAAAGACACGTGTAAGCTAATAATTTTGGCCTCATTAAATAGTATAATTTTAAAAATACATGGGATTGTACAGTTAACCCCTGCCCTCATACTAAAACGTATACACATATGCACTTCCAAATATATACATATTTTCAGGATCATAAAAATATTTAATTGTTACAAGTTTAAATAATTACTGAATGTTAATACAGAATACTTTAATATCTGTATAATTTTACATTAATAAAAAAGGTTTTAAATAGCAGCATTTGTATTGCAAATGAAACGTGACCAAATGACCTGCAGCATGGAAGGACTCCTGCTGCAAATCAGCCTGACCAGCTCTATGTCCTCTATAAGGAGCATCTGTCCCAGCTACAGAAGAGCAGTCCTCACAGCTACCTAAGCCTCGAGGAGATAATGACTTATCTGACCTTTACAAGTGTACTTGAAAGTTCCCCCCATGGAACTGACAAGGTTTATTAAAGTATTTCAAGAAGTCCAAGTTAATTTTACCCCCTAGAAAAGGTTCTAATGAAGTAAAGAATACTAATAGTTTTTAATTAAATCATATGAACATATTAGAAGTTAACTTAAGGTTTCAGCAGTAAAAAAATAAAAATAAAGACATCATGAGAAGTACAAGAAAGTAAGAAAGACTGACCTAAACTTCACAACATTATCACATATCAAACAAACTCCCTCTCCATCTCACACACTCATATTAAGCTTGTTTTTGTTAAGCTCACGTTCCAGGTTGCCAATCAAAGTATCGATACTGTCCTGAAGCTCTTTGAGGTTAGCTCTCCGATCCACTGTAGACTCAATTGTCCCCATTGTCAAGTACGTCTGAAACGTGCAGTCCCTGGACATGGGGATTTGCTGCTCAATCATGATTCCTGGTCTATCCATTTTGGAATAATCTCTATTTTCTCCATCTTCTGAAGGTACTTCATCATAATCCACATCTGTTAGATTTTCTTTTGTAGTTAAAAAGTAGTTTTCTCCACAGCTGCTCCAGTCTCCTGCATAGCGATTACTAAGGGGACTGTCTAACCTGCTCTGCCTTGGCCTAAGTACTCCTGATGAATCAGAGCTACTCAGATTTAACTCAGATGGTCGATCTTTCTTTCGCCTCAAATAATTCAGAGAAGATGACAGCTCTGGGAACAAATCGTCTGTTGATGCTTTGACAGTTAAATGCTGCACTAGAAATCAACAAAAAAATTACTTTAGTGACAGTAATCCAACTGGCCTTAAAAAAAAAAAAAAACGAAAGGGCTAACAATAAAGCCATTTAATAACCAACTACAAACATGCATTCAAACAAAGACATGCAGGCTACTTAAGAGAAAGCATTCCATAATAATTTTTCTATCACCAGAGATAATTAAGATTAGACATAGAAGCTAGTAGAATATTCAGTGGTGCTACTTCATGCTACATAATAACATTCCCAAATAAAATTTCCAATGTTGATTAACTTTCTGTGCAAGTTAATTATTATCTAGTTGTAATTCAAACAGTAGCTAAAAGCTGATAGGTTCTCCTAAATTAAAGGCTACAGCAAAAAGCAGGCAAGGCATGTTGGTGTACAAACAAAACAAAACAAAAGGTTCCTTTGTCTACAAACATCTAAATAAGGCAAAGGCAGCTACAGTGATCACTCTAAAAGTTCTGACTTTAGTGGGCCTTTTTGCAGTTAGCAGCAGGGTCATCATTACTAAGCAGACCAAATTTCACTTTGATGAAATAAATACTAGACTGGACCATTTGTTACCTGAGTGATTACACAGCATTAGCTACTAACAGTCTTCATTTATTGCCTAGAAATAGCACAGACATTTTATTTTCCAATTCTGGTTAGAGATTTAACACTCTCAACATTCTTCGTGCTTAGACTGTTCTCTTCTGAGATAAGCTGTACTCTATAGCCATACAGAAGACGACAGACACACATATGACTCCACAGGAACTGAGACTTTATTGCTTACTCTAAACAACATATTTATCTAAGGCTCTTCTGCATATAAGATAGACTATTTAAAAATACTAAGACACAACTATTAAAGATTACCCACAATACCTTTCTCTTTCTGCTTGTTTATTCTATTACTGCCTCTCCTTTTATACCTCCCTCACTAAAATAAGAGAGCATAAGTCAGTGGTAACACACCAATGTTTTTTGTTGTTTTACAAAATAAGACAACTAAAAAAACTGCAAATATATATGTGCTTCTAGTTTCCCACACTTATGATATGCACTTTTTTTTGTCTTTTAAAGACAGGGTCTCCCTGCAACCCCAGCTAGCCTGGAACTCACCATGTAGACCAGGCTGGCCTTGATCTCACCAATATTTGCCTGCCTGTTGGGATCAAAGGTGTGTGCCACCACACCCAGGCCAATATGTACATTTTTCAAAAACATTTCACTTATTTTTATATTTCAACTTTTATTTTATTATTTATATATATTTTATTTAGTAACTATATATTGGGGTTTGGGGGGGGGGATTTTTTTGAGACAGGGTCTTCCTATAGCCCTAGCTGTCCTGGAACTCACTTTGTAGATCAGGCTGGCTTTGAACTCAAGAGATCCACCTACCTCTGCCTCCCCAAGTGCTGGGATTAAAGGAATGTGCCACCATGCCCAGACTATATTGGTATGTTTTAAACATTTCTACTTACTGCATTTTTTGATGGGTGTATGTCCTTATAGACAGCCATACATTCTTAATCTAAAATTTTATTTTAAATTGTCAGATATTTACTTTAAATGGATCTTTAATGTTATAGTATCAAGAGAGGATGTTCCATGCTATACAACTGAGGAATAGATTTCTGACTTTCTCCATGATTTAATTATTTGTATTTTCTTCTCCTCAGCTACTTGCTGTCTCCCTGCCTCCTACTCTCCCCCTTCATCCCTGTGCGATCCTCCTGTCCTTGGTGCTCCTGTCCCACCTGCTACTCCTGCCAGGTGCAAAGCACACCAGCAACCTAGACAAAACCCACTTTCCTTTTCTTTAGCCAAGACTCTACTCAAACTATTTTTATACAGTTTCTTCGAGAATATTCAAGAAACCAATTAAATTATTATTTTGCATTATACTAAAAACTCAAATTCTGAAAAATCAATGTCATTGTCTTTTTAAACTAGTAATACTAAAATGTTTCCTATTAAATTTTTAAGAAAACTGGCTAATTTTAACCTCAAAGGAAAAGCTCTCACTTTCCACTACAGACTGCCTGCTTTCAGAAGAACAAAATGAAAATGCAGTCTACTACGGCTGCCGGAAACGTCCCAAAATGTAATGAGAAGTACTATTTATCCTAACATTTTCTACCAACAGTTTTTATTCACTACATTATTAGCTTTTCACTTCTAAGGCAACATCTTTAGTTAACACAATCTAGTAAGAAAGATGAATTCTTAAAAAAAAAAAAAAAAAAAAAAAGCTGGTTTATAAACAACGGACATGTACTTAAATAGTTCCAGAAGGTAGAAAGTCCACAATCAAGGTACCAACAAATTCAGCTTCCAGTGAAGGCTTACCTTAAAAGGATTGGGAAAAAATTGATACTATTTCCAAAAAACCCCTGCCTCAAACCTATCTATTCGTCATGGAGAATGTGGACTAGTAAAGAGCCAGCAGCTGGTACTCTCTCTACCCAGTTCCTCATCTATAAAGTGAAAGTGACCTTGCAATAATGTTCAGTATTCTTTTAAACAGTAAACCCATTCTGCAAAAACATGGTGAAAGCTCAATACATAAAACAATACTATTTCCAAAAAACCCCTGCCTCAAACCTATCTATTCGTCATGGAGAATGTGGACTAGTAAAGAGCCAGCAGCTGGTACTCTCTCTACCCAGTTCCTCATCTATAAAGTGAAAGTGACCTTGCAATAATGTTCAGTATTCTTTTAAACAGTAAACCCATTCTGCAAAAACATGGTGAAAGCTCAATACATAAAACACAAGAAGAGAAGAGTGTTCTGGTAAGAGGACATGTTTCCTGGACCTCTTGCTCACATGGCCCAGAGAACTGCAAGGCATGATGGAAGATGATAGCAGGATAATTTTTATCTTCAAGGGCCTATCAATATAACTGGCTTCTTTGAAGATAAGATTTTCTAAAGAGAAATCTCAAAGCAAAGTATCTTTAGGTTTCAAATTGGGGAAAAAAGAGGAAGGGCATGGGGTAACACTTTATAGCTCTGGAGCGAGGGGTATGCATAGCAGGGAGCCCTTATATTGAATGCATGGGGGCAGCTTTGACGTAGTCTCCTCACGTTCTCTGTGTCGCCTTTGGTTTTCTCAAGCCCAGTAACTGTATTTTATTTACATGATGTCTGCCTTTCCTAAAATCCCATAGGAGGCAATTTAGAGGGTAAAACTATTGTTTCCTCTCTTCCCTCTGCCCTATTTTGTCTTTGTCTAGGGTACTTTCAAGAAAAATAACAGGTTATAAACAGGTTTCTGCTTTGGAAAGAGATTGTCATTAAAACCAACAACATAAATCTTTGGAATAAGATGCTGTACATGACTCAATGGTTTAAGGTTGTCATTAAAATATAGACAAGAGGCTGGAGAGATGGCTCACTGGTTAAGAGCACTGGCTGCTGCTCTTTCAGAGGACATGGGTTTGGTTCCCAGCACCCACGTGGCAGCTAACAACTGTCCATAACTCCAGTTCCAGAAGATCCAAAGCCTGCTTCTGGTCTTCACAGGCACTGCACACGTGTAGGCAAAGCATTCATACATATAAAATAAAAATAAATCCAAATATAGATAGATAGACAGACAGACAGATATTGTGTGTGTGTGTGTGTGTGTGTGTGTGTGTGTGTGTAGTACATAAAAGTATGGGGTGGAGCTGTGAAGATGACTCAGTTAAGAGGTTGATGTCCAAGCGTGAGGACCTGAGTTCAGATCCTCAGACCCCACGTAAAAGGCTGGGCAAGGCCACAAACACCTGTAATCCCAACACTGTGTGGGCTAGAGACAGGAGGATCACATGGACTTCTTGGCTGCCAGCCTAGTTCAGGGTTCAGTAAGAGGCCCTGTCTCAAGGGAATAAGACAAGGAGCAGGATATTCAGCAGCATCTTCTAGCTTCCATGAACACACTGCACACATACCATAGCCCCCCCACACACACACACAGTGGGGAGGGGAGGAAGAGGTCTAAAGAGAGGAAAGAAGGGAGACAAGATGAGGTAATGGTATATATACGCCATGAAAGTAGAGAGGAAAGTATGTGGGAAAGGAAAGAAACCAACAAAAGTGGTTGAGGAGGAACAGAGGAGGGCAGTGGGGAAGGGGTAACTAACAACGAAATATAATGATATGCACGTAAATGCCTCAATATTCTCCATATCCTAACCAAAATAATAAAAAAGAAAATACGGCATATATGCTATGCCATAACAAAAATGAAATCCTACTATTTACAGTGACATGGATCAACTTTAAATGAGTACGTAAAACAAGCCAGACATAAAAAGATGAATATTGCATGATCTCAACTATTGGAGGAATCTAAAACCGTCAAAGAGAAGAGCGGCTGACAACAGGTTTTTTTGTTGTTGTTTTTGTATGTGTGTGTGTGTGTGTGTGTGTGTGTGTGTGTGTTGGGGCAGGAGGGTAAGAAGGTCAAAGGGTATAAAGTACAGCTATGCAAGATGAATAATTGTATAAAAATATCACTGTAGTTGACAAGACCATATAACTGGAATAAAGGAGTAACTATGTGAGGTTCTGTACATGTCAACTACCTTGATCCTGATTATTTCACAATGTACAGGTCTATCAAAACATCAAAATGTGCACAAAATGGGTGCACTTACACACATGCAGGCAATACACTCATACACATAAAAAAATCAAGATGTAGTCTTTAGATATACAAGTCAATTACACCTTAATAAAGCTGATGGAGGAGAGGAAAAAAACTTAGCATGTCTAACCTTTGGCTCTGACCAACTCAATCCAACAGGTATTTATTTACTGAATGTCCAGCGACAGTGGACTAGGCAGTAGGAAATACAAAAGTGAACCTGCTTCTCAGACAGTACAATGTGGTTATATTATTGATAAATATTTAATAAACATTCATTTGGTGAAGGGGAAAATATAAAATCTGAATCTTTTTTTCTTTTTGAGACAATCTCACGTAACCCAGGCTGTGTCCCATACTATGTAAAATGAGTTCCTTTATGCAGCACCTAATTAAATACATTACTTCTGTTGGGCACTCACTGCAGAGAGAGAGGCAGGTAGATCTCTGTGAGTTCAAAGCTAGCCTGGTCTATGAATTCCAGGCCAGGTGGCGCTACAGAGAGATCCTGTCTCAAAAAGACCAAAATAAATTAAATAAATAAATAAATAAATAAATAAGTAAATAAATAAATAAACAAACAAATAAATAACTTCTAGCCCTGAAATTATGTAAGAGCTATATTAGATGAACTGAAGTCTTTATTGATGAGAATAGAAGGATAAGAAAGACCAAAAGAAGGGCTGAAGAAATTGCTTATTCGATAAGTG